GGTGAGCGGCTGAAACGCAAGGGGATGGTGCTGGTTGCTGCCCCGAATAATTTACCTTTTCTGCCTCCAGAGCGTAGGCCAGGTCGGAGTTTGGCCCGCGAAACCTGAAGAAGGCTCCTGCCCACTGGGAGCTGAAGCGGTGGAGCACGTTCCTGAAGAGCAGCCGGCGCAGCGCCTGCAGGAGGCAGAGAACAGGCTGGGTTTGCTGGACTCAGCCCCATCTTGGTGTCGTGGGGGATCTTTGGTGTCAGGGGGCCCCGGGACGCGTGTGCAGTGTGGGTGCACTCACGGACAGAGGCACATAAAGTCGTCTGCTGAGAATCAGGCCCCACAATTGCACAGCAGAGGTAATGTTTGTGGTTAATTGGGTGATTTACTTCACCCAGGGCTCAGCCACTCCTGTGAAGTGCAGTTGCCGTGTGTAAATGGTTCAAAAAATAATGTGGCTTCACCTGAACTGGGTACACCTGCCATCCCTCACCACGTTGGTGAGGTTCATTTACAGCACCTTCTAACACCTTTTGCCATGAGAGTGGGTGGGTGCTGCTGTCACTGTGAGGGACCTGCCTGGGTGTCAGGGGGTGAGCCTGGCCCCTTGCTGCACCCTGCACCCCCCAGGCTGAGGACACTGCCTGGGCCCACCAGAACATTTTCCCTAATTTTGTGAATGATGCATTTGCTGAGCAAAGCGAACCAGACAATGTGGCTCTTCCCATTCCTCTCCTTGCGAGAGGTCCTGGGTGGCAAGGCCAGTGTGGAGGCCATGCTGCCATCACCCACCCAAACCCCAAGCTCCTGGCAAAGGGTCTCCATATGGGCACCACCACTGGCGCTCCCAGACTCCGGTGTTTGGGTGGGAGCAGCGATACTGACTGATCTGAACTTCTGCCTCCTACCCAGAGGGGATTCACTAGGAGAGCACTGATGAGCAGGGAAACATTGCACTTCTCATTTGACCTATTGTCTAATGAGAATTATACCATATCAGTTTTAAGGTTGTATTGCAGCCATGTTCTTTAAAAGCCTCGTAAATAAATCATGGTGGTTATATCCCTCTGTTACAGCTAACAGCAGGCTGAGCCGCCAGCCCAGCGCTGCGCCGAGCCTCCCATAACATGGGCTAAGGTTCCCCAGCCTCTTTCTTTTAACGAGATTAAATTACAGCTTATGCTTAATTCATCAGGCCAGCTCACCAGCACCATTTCCAGGGAGATGGGGCGGCCGCCTGCGGCTGGAGAGAGGAGGAGAGGTTTGGGGATGGTGCAGGGCGGGTGAGGAACCGACAGCCCCCCAGGATCTCCAGCTCCAGGTGCTCCATTGCCAGCACTGTCCTGGCCTTGCTGGACAGAGAGAGGAGCAGATGGGGCATCAGATGGTGTGTCACCTCATCAACCCTTTACCCCATCATCCCTTCTCCCCATGGCTGCTGCCTCGTGTGTGCCAAAAGTCACCCCTTCACTGTGGGACGGGGCTTTGAGCAGCCTGGTCTGTTAGAGGCATCCCTGCCCGTGAAATAATCCCCGTACCGCCTGTCTGCTCTGCTGCATGCACAGAGTTGCCACTTCCTCACCATGCTGACATGGTGGAACGGTCACAAAAGCCACCAGACAAATAGAGACTGTTAACTTTCAGAGGAACAGTTACCTGATGAGTTGTGTTGCTGATTTCCAAACTGAAAAGGGAAAATAAAATACAAATTAAAAAGAAACCAAACAGAGTCATTGCTCAAATATGAAGAAAAAGGAGAGCAGCCAGGAAAGAACCCCAAAAGGAGGGAAGCATAAAGCTGTAGTACTTGCATTGCCAAGTGCATGAAGACCTTTTCCCATGGTCACATACTGTAATAGAATGTAACTTAAAAAATTATATTAAAAAAACACCTGGAATTAAAAGCACATGATAATGAAGCGGAATAAAGATCTTACCCATGGAAACTAAAAATCTCTTTCCACTTGTTCAGCTCTGAAATCTTGCTGGTGATTTCCTCCAGCTCTGTCGGTGGTGCGGCGAGTGCAGCTGCCTGGTCCCCCATCGCAGCTGCCCGCTCCAGCGATGCTGCAGGTTGCAGGGGACGCACTGGGAGTGCTGGGAGTGGCTCCCCCGGACCCCTCTGCCTGTCAGCTCCCACTGCACCCCATGATTAAACTTTGATGAGAGCTCAGCACAGGCTGTGCTTTCTGTCGGAGCAGCATGAATGTTTAATAGCAGACAGACACAGACAGCAAGTGGACGGAGCACGGGCTGCCAGGGCTGCCTGGGGTGGGTGTAGCTCCAAGAACCAAAAAATAAAGGCAGGCGTAGAAGGTGCCTAAAGTTGAGCAAATTCACTGGGGGGAGGAGCCAGGGAAAGACAGAGGTTTGGTGCCTCTCGCCCCTTTTCCCACCTCCATCCTGGCACACAGGCCCCGCACTGCCCAGCCCCAATAGGAACGGCGACTGCCAACAAAAATAATGTGGTTAAGAAGTTAATGAACCTTTATCCATCTGCAGATGTCAGAGCCCATCTCAGCTCTGTGAGATCCCAGAGAAAAGGCTCCTTGCTGGGACAGCAGTGCTGGCATTTCCACAGCCCGTGCTGAGGATCCTTCCGGTGCTGTTTGGCAGGCATTCCTCGGACCACCACTCCCCGGGCACAGGCTGCAGGGCATCGGGTTCAGGATCCATCTTTAGTGTTTCTCCTGCCACGCTAAAGCCTGACCAGCTCAGTGGCGCAGCGACTTGCTGTGGTGTGGCATTTCTCGGCTGCGCTTTACGGAATTATGCCCGCAGGTTTCAGCATGTTTAGACGTATGCACACAGACATGCGTACTAATTTTTTATTGAGATAAGAAAAAATCTAATTGTTCAATACCCTTCAAAATATATCTTTATTCTCATTACATAGGTTTTTTTTTTGTTAAATCATGAAATACGCTAGTCTAGAAACGAAACAGAGACCTGTTCAGGTGATGCTGGTGGCTTAGCAGTGATCCTCGGTCACCAGTTGTGCTTGCCCTGCAGCGCTGGCTGTGCAGCCCAGCCTCGCTCTGTTTCAGTTGGGCACAGATATTTTATCAGTTTGTTTTGCTAATAAGAAGTTGTTATGTTCGCCTTGGATACAAATGCAAATAGCAGCTGGCCTCATGCTGGGAAGCAGGGTGGGATGCGGGGGGGATCTGGGCTCTTTGTGAGGTGACCCCCCTGTGAGAATGCCTAAACCCCAAGTCAGGGGCTGCTCACCCCTGCCCAGCACAGGGGATGGGAAGGGGTTTATCTGCTGGACCGAGCAACAATTTTACACATATGGGCCAGCTCTGTCTTTATTATGGGCAAGGATCATACCAAGGTGGACAGACGTGAGCGTCTGTACATCTGACCTTGGGTACTGCCGTGCCAAGCAGAGCAGCTTTACAAAACGTCAAGGACACAGAGGGTGAACCATTGCTTCTCACTGTACAGTAACCAACACCATGAGATGTAACACAAAATATGCATTAAGAAGATACATTAAGAAGAATATGCATATTAATTAAGAATAAAATGATGATGAGTCATGGCAGCTCACAGTAGCCCTCATGGCTGAAATGTTAAAATGACTCCAGGGGCAGGTGCCCTGACTGCACCTGATTGCCACCCCAAGTGGTGGGCTGGGTGCAGGGCATTGGTCCCCACCTGTGGTGCAACAGCAGCCCCTACCCCGCAGGTAAATGGGGCTGGGGAAGGGGCTGCGCCCTCTGCACCTCCTCTCTGTTGCAGATGCCATTCCTACGCCCTATAAGGAGCACCTTGCATGCAGGGCTCCCACGCAGTCTCACAGAGGTAGTGTTTGATGAAATTGTGCTCTTTCGGTCTCCCTGTTCGTAACCGGGCTGGCACAGCTGTACCAGGAGGATTTCACAGTGTGTCTGTTGCGTTGTTGTTCCCCTGCTGTCCCACGTTGAGGGTTTTCGCCCTGTTTATCTGTACTGTTTGATGACAGAGGGTCTGTGGGGCTGTTTCCTGCACAGGGTTCTTGGCCCTCCTGACCAAGGGGCTTTGGGAGGATGCAAAATGAAAGGTCCCTGGATTGCATTTCCATCTCTTTGCTCTGGCCAATGCCTCATGCCTGGGGTGCTGTGGGGAGCTGTTCGGTGCACCAAGCCCGGCTGTGTCCCTTGGCGCACAGGGGGTGCACGTTGTGTCTCCTTTGCACCTGCCTTTGCCATGCATCTCTTTATAACCAGGATCACAAAGCCCCCAGCTACAGTGACTGCACAGGGAAATCACAGACTGGTTTGGGAGTGAAGGGACCTCACAGCCCCCCAGTGCAACCCCTGCTGTGGGGGGACACCTCTCACCAGCCCAGGCTGCTCAAAGCCCTGTCCAGCCTCGCCTTGGGGGCTTTTGGGACTTTGGTGGCAAAGGGTTACAGTTTGGTTTGTTAAAAATTAAAAAACCCAGAAAAGAGCTTTATGGACAGAAACAGCAGTGTGACCGTGCAAGTGATGCTAGTAGGTGCTGGGTTTGGGTTTTGTTCCACAAGCCTTTGCTGTGGCGTTGGGTCCCTTTCCCGAGACCTGGTGTCTGCCGTGAGCAAAGCCCCGTTTCCTTGTTTGGTGTCCATCAATTTACTGGGTGTTCTTGCTCCCCGCTGCACCCACACACCCCAGCATGGGGGCTTGAGGTGATGTCTCTGATGGTGACCACGTGGGTCTCCATTGCAACGCAGTAATTTCACTGTCCAGACCCAGTTCCATGCTATCAGTATTCCTGTTTTCTTCATACCAGCTACTTTTCAAATACCTTACTGGGAAAAAAGGCAAATGTTTTCATAGGGTCTTACCCCAAGAAAAAGAGGTATTTTCATCTGGACCTTCCACACAGTATGTCTTCTGTTTACTGCATGTGCCATATTGGCATTTATTTGAAAACTCCACTTTTTAAACTTCTTCAGAGCTAATCCTTTAGAAGCAAGTACATCTGGTGATTGTTGAACATAGTGCTGAGCCTCTTTGCTTTAAATGTCCTTAAATGATGTAACTCTAATACATCAGGTCAACCGCTCCAGTGGTTGTCTCCGAATCTTTTGGCTTTGTGAAAGGGAATTCAAACCCAGCAAACCGTATCAGCAGAGCGTTCAGGACGTGCACCAGGGAGCAGACGAGGATGGTCCAGAAGGAGTCTGCAAACTGCTCGCTGTGAGTCTTGAAGGTGAAGCTCCCCTCCTTGAAGTTGGCGATCTTCTCGGAGAGGCAGTGGATCTTCACCTCCGAGGAGAAGAGGATCAGGATGAGGCACCCGCAGGAACCTGGACACAGGGGGTGCTCGTCAGATTAGGGGGTGGCAACAACCGCCTACACCACCACACCATCCCACCGCCCACCCCCGCAGAGGACTGCAGCATCTTATCTCCTAACCCCAATTTGGAGAAAATACATCTTGATATTGCAGAACTGCCCGCCTTTCTACCCAGCTTCTTGGCCGGTTTAGAGTGAGTGCAGCCACAGCCCTCTACACCAATAAATTGGTCATCATGAATAGGCAAACACAGCCGGGTTGATGCTGTCAGCCACAGGTGGGAGTACTCACAGGCAATGAAGCTCCAGAGGTACAGCCCAACAGGGCCGTGCAGGGTCTCATAGGGGCTCCCAAAAGCGTTGAACATGAAGAAACCTGTCCCCACCAGAGCAAAGACAATCAGCGCGGTGCAGAAGAGAACCACGCTAACATGGATGCTGGCGGGGATAATTGTGAGCAGATCTGGAAAAACTGAAAACACAAAGAACATGACATTATTATACGCGTTAGGCAGAGTTGTTCCAGCAGTCAAGCCAGGGATCTCTTGCTCGTTTTTGATAATTGTTTTAAACTATGCTCTTTAAATCGCATCAAATGCAACCAAAGGTGCAGTTATTGACTAGAAACAGGTTTTAATGGAACTGACATTTATTTGCCTGCCTGGATCTTTACCAGCTCCTGGGCTTGGTTACCATCCATGTGTGCATCACTTACATCTGACCCTGCCCAAAACGGTCAGCATTCACATCAGTCTGGGTTGTTCTGGTCAGCAGAGACTTGTATTGATATTATATTCCAAATTACAGGTGCAGGGATCAGGAGGAAGGATGAGGGAGGCTGGGGTTATTTCCAACTCACCCCCATCCAACTCTCCAGTTTGGCCAGTCTGTAAACCAGGCAGGAAATGGTGTTTAACCATTGATTATTGGTGCTTAAACACCAGCAGAGCCCCACTGCTGGCTGTGAGTGGCAGCAGCAGTCTGGGAAACATTGTGTGAAGCAAAAAACGAAATTCTACCCAAAAAGGCCAGGGATCAAGCAAAGAAGTGAAATTTCTGGGCACGAGGTGGGTTGCCAGAAGCACAGCAATGCCACCAGGCACTGTAAATAAATACAACCACAGGTGCCCCAATCTAGGACAGAATTACAGCAGCTAATGAGGATTTTGGGGTGCTGGACGAGACATGGACCTGGATTTTCTGTTATCGCTTGTCCACTGTGTTCACCTTTACAAAAAGTGCCTGTATCTGGGGACAGAGCCCCAGCATGGGTTGGTGGCAGCAGTACCCAAGAGGTGTGCGTGCTTCAGCACCCAGAGCCAGTGACCGCTGTATTTTAAATATTTTAAAAACTATTTACAAATCTATTTGTAAAAAAATATTTTAATGCAGCTTTTCAGCTGCTATTCCAAATTGAGCTCCTGCTTAGCCAAGGCACAAGGGGATAGTCAATCAGGCTTGGTACTGGAGAATAATTTCTAATAATTCATGTGTGTTTGGCAACAAGGGGTGTTTTAGGAGGTATCATCAAACACGCTTAACTGCTCCTGAGCCACAGGGGTGCGATTAGAACGAGGTGATAACACCTCAGTGCTGCCTTGCTGCAGCTGTAACATGCAGGAGTAAAAACCCTCCCATAAATTACTCTGCCTTGTAAAACGTCTGCCAGCAAAGAGCTCTGCAGGCTGCCAGGCAGAGAGCACCGAAAGGCAGGTAACGTGGTGCCAAGTCAGTTTATCTCCCTGATTAAATGACAGGGAAATTGATAAGACAAATGTTTGCAAGTTATTCTTGAGTAATTAAATATTAAATAAAGTATTCACAATCTATAATATTAGTAAAATACCGTTGGTGTGATGTGAAGCAGGGTTTTGCTGCTGTACCACCCGGGCTGGCTGAGGACAGGGCAGATGTGTCCATGCTTGCGCGGAGCAGTGCCAGTTCATGCATCTTTGCCCCATCTTTGGGGAGAATGTACAAAACTGTGTATTTAATAATGCAGTTTTGTATCATTTACGTTAGGAAAACATGTCACTGCGTTGTATTGAACCTTTCCCTCGGCACCTGCATCTACAGTGGCTTATGTCATTAAAATTTTATATATGGCGTATCAGGAAAACTGAATTCCAGCAGCGATGCTGTGTTGAGAGGAAAGCATTCCTTCACTGCAGTGAATGAAACGGGGAGGTAGGCGTGCATGGCAGCGACCTTTAGCAAATGAGCTGCTGACCCAGAAATTGCTGGGAATCGGCAAGGGCTAACGAAGCAGAAGGTTTTCCCCCGGCCGGGTGCTGGCAGAGCAAATTCATTTCCAAATTAAAAGAGACAGTGGTCAGGGGGGAGCGCTTAATGGGACAAACAGAAGTAAATCATTTAGCCTGTTTGCCGTGCCTGTTCTCCCCAGACATCCAAGTGCAGGGCATTAAGCTATGGATGTGTTGTTGTCTGTGGTTTTCCTGCTTTATGGGATGCCCCCAGTCGGTTCCTGAGAGCACTGACTGGGATGGGATGGGATGGGTGTGCTGCAGCCCCAGGGATGGGACACCAGCCCCCTTCATTGGGGGTCTGAGGGGAACACTTCGAGCAGAGGCACATTGTGCGAAGCCACCCAAACATTTTGTTTAAATATAAATTATAAGTAAAATATAAATTATAATGACAATATATTAAGATAGATAATTCTAAATATTTAATTTTTCTGAATATAGAAATCAGTCACAAATTATTCTAAATGTAGAAGAAAAGCAGGTGCTGCTCTGCTGCGGCTGGTGCCTGAGAGGGGCCCGGGGCCAGGCCGGGGTC